AGGTGGCGCAGTGGGTAGAGTGCAGTACTGCAGGCCACTTCAGCTGACTGCAGTTTTGCAGTTCAGCGGTTCAAATCTCACCGGCTCAGGGTTGACTCAGCCTTCCATCCTTCTGAGGTGGGTAAAATAAGGACCCAGATTGTGGGGGCGATATGCTGACTCTGTAAACCGCTTAGAGAGGGCTGAAAGCCCTATGAAGCAGTATATAAGTCTAACTGCTATTGCTATTGCTACTTCTTCCAAATTATTCTTAAAAGTATGTACAACATATGCATCCAGGTGTGTGCAAGGGAATGACACTGTGCATATTTAATATTAAAATGTCAAAGGGAAAGCAACATGGGAGGCCTTTTGTCATTGTTCCTTGCTTGGATGCCTGCCATACATATGCCATATTTAATAAATGAGGAAATGTGCTTTCACATTGATGCAACATAGCATAGCTACTTGGAAACAAATAAATAAGAGGAGGTCAGAGCGCTCCTATACCCTTCATAGTTGTGATAAATGAGGGATATCAGCAGATACAGCCTGGCCTTTCCTTTCCTCCAGAGCCATGAAAAATGCCACAGCAGCCTTCTCCTTTTCTAAATATAATTTCTTGAGCAAATTCCAGATTCTGAGAAAAATGCTTGACGCTAAATGTTGTACGTGTGCCTATTCTGGAAAGCACAGGGGATGAAAGAAGTGGCAACCCTGGTTGTGAGTGAAAGGTTCTTTCTTTCTGTTTATAGTCTTAGTTGCTCAACATCAACCACAGAACTTTTTTGTTTTTATTTTTTGAAAAAAAATGGAACCTCTTCTGCAATTTCTGACATTTTCACCAGGGGTCACTACGAGAGTAAGATATGTATGCAGTGAGGAGAAATGGGTTTATTAAAGTGTCCCCATCTAGGAGAAGGAAGATATTTTCAGTGTCAGCAGCATGACAGAAAGACAGCTCATGGCATGCATAAGGTCTACTGCTTTTCTTCTTTCCTTCGCAGGAACAGTTTTATGTAAGTAAATTATCTCTTCCCCATCTTCAATTCTTCTTGTTTAATTGTTTAGAAATATGGACTTTGAGTATAGAGTAAATCAATAATGTTATGAGGAACTAATTGGTAGAGCATTGAAACTGCAATTTATTCAAACTGCCAAACACAATAGAAATATTTGAGTGTAACTCCCCAATTCAAGGATGCGGAGAAAGGCATTTGATGGGCAGGACTAGAAGTTTAGATAACTAATATGTAAAAATCTTGGGATAAGAATCTTATCAGAACAGTCCTCTCTTATTTATTAAGTCACCCAAAACACAAACTCAGTCTGAGAAACAAATGACTTTTCATTTCAGGGTTGCTGGGATTATCAGGTTTTTTTAAAAAAAACAAACAAACAGTGGAAGTGGGTTTAAAATGGAATGTCCATGCTCATCCCTTTTGCCCAGGTCAAATGGGCTTCTGCAGAAAAACTCACAAAACCTCTTTGACACTGGATCCTTTGGGATCAAATAGAAGGTTCAGATAGTTTAGCGTCCCATTCCAAAAGTATCCATCGAGATGCCTCTAGCAAACTCCCCAGAGAGACCAGGCAGGCATTAGTGTATGATCTTTAATGCATCATTTAATTATTCTTATCCAAACAAATTTAAGATAAGAAAAATCACTGCTTGTATCACTAACCTTTAAATCTGAAGTCTATCTCTAACCTATGAGACTTCATTGCTTTTGTTGGTTTTGTGTGATTCTAAGGATCTTCTCAGGAACTTTGTTCTTTTCTGGAAACCCTGAGGACAACTACCAACACTTTTCAGTTTTGTTTCATCAGTCCACATGGTATAAAATATTCTAAATGGACTTTTACATTGCATAGACATCTTAAGATGCAACGGCAGAGGGTTTTTTAAAAAAATCCAATGATTGTACAAAAGTCCGTAAAAATATTAAAGTTAGTAGATTTTAGTGTAAGAAAACTCAGTTAAAATGAGTCATGGAAGCAATTTATTTCCCTATGAAGGCAGTGGCAAAATTCCAATATTTTTTTCTCTTTGTGTTGCCTTGAATTCACTAGGCACAATTAAAAGAGGTTTTATTGTGAGTTGTAATAAACATTATAGCTCTGCAAGCTTTTAAATTACTTTAGTAATATAATGCATGAGCCACGAATGCAGAATGGCAAACAAATTAATAGTTTAAAAAGGTAAAACAGAGAATCCATAAGCAATTAATCTGACAATTTATTGCTATGTGAAAATGTTAATTTCTCAAGCACAGAAGAAGGAAGAGGGCTGGTTGGTTATAGTCTCTGTAGTATAGTTGCTGCTAAAATATCTCTGCGATGGAAACTGAGTGCTAATTTTGGGCTCCTTGCCATCGGAGGGATTTGAAGGGTTGCTAAAAGACTTTCAATATGGCAAGTCACATTTATCATCATGTTCTAGCTAATATAAACCATTTCTAAGTGTACTGACCATTTCCAATTTCTTTGGAGATTCCTAGGTGAAGACTTGTACACCATTCTCCAGAGACCAGCATCGGTGGTGATAGAGGAGTTTGGCATCGACTATTCTGTGGAATGTTCCATAAAGACATCATCATCCATTCCTATTTTTTACTGGTTCCGGCAAATATCCAATGGGTCAATAGACCTGCTTGCCTTTTCAATAACTAAAAGTTCCACAAATAATGTTGGGCCAACCCATATCAAAGGTTCAAGACCAAGCAATGAGAACTTTTTGCTAAAAATCAGGAGGATGACAACTAATGATAGCGGGATATATTATTGTGCCTTGAGCCTCACACTGTGCCAAATAATACAATCTCTCTACAAAAACCTCTTTTTTTCTTTCTCAGTGGGTGGGACAAATGCATTGCCCTACCGTGAAACAGCTAACAAGTGTCTGCTTCGGAGAGATCAGGTTCCTACCTGGTGTAGCTGACAACCCTGGTAAATACTTTTTGAAACCAGCAGTTGAAATGAGGAAATGCATATTTGCGCTCTCATGCTGTCAGCTGAGCTGCTCTATTATAACAGAAGATTTGGTTTTGGGGGAAAAATGGAGTGTTTCTGGTTCCGCTGTGGAAATACAGAATAACAGAAGGGTTTGGGACCTCCAAACCCTTCTCAGGCAGAAAATCTATACCATTTCAGGCATGGCGAAGGACACGTTACAGGAATATTAACTAAAGTAGCCATATTTTTCCAGTAGCAAAATTGGTTTAAGGAACAAATCAGAAGTTGTTCCCAATACTCAAAGAAGCACAAACAAAGTAAATTATCTATCTGGGTACATCTTTTTTCTGATAGGATAAATGCCTGAATGGGCTTAAATAAAATCCAGATATGGGAGAAGGGGGAACTGGGAGAGAAGTGAAGGGAAAGACTTTCATTAGCTCTTGTCCCACAAGCAGGTCAAAATAGTTAGGCCTTCTGCACTTTGGAAAGGAGATCAGCAATAAAGCAATTACATCTCAGCTGATGCCAGAACAGGTCCCAGCTATGAGGAGAGCTTATATGCTTGTTTGGGTTAGTTGTTTACTAATCAGAAGTGGGGATGGCTGATGGTTATAAGAAGTAACTCGTGCAATAGGCATTAGCCATTGTTTAGTCTTAATCATAGCCTATCTGTTTAATTGGCACTTGGCAATCATTCCTCCTATTTCAATTTCCTAAGAATTTGATTGATCTGAAAGAGAGTGACTGACCCAGAGTTACCAAGGGAGCTCCCATGCTGGGGTGACTTAGGAATCTGGGCCTTCCCAGTTCTAGACCAACACCTTATCCACACTGATTTATTGAATAAACCACAATGGCTTGGGATCACAAATCCACTAAACCATAAATTAGGGTTTATGAACTTCAGCTGCCATTACATAACATAGTAAACCAAAGAAATTGTGCTACTGGCTTAAAAGAATGTGAATTGTTCATAGGTGCTGTAAAAAATATATCAAACAATCTCTTTGCAAACGAAGAAAATTTCAGGATGCTGAAATGAAAGAGACTGAATAGTTTGTGACTACCAGCTCTAACCTCCATCCAGATCTATATTCTTGAATCAAAGCTGCCAATGCAATGTCTTGAGGGAAATATTGAAGCAATGTATCATGAGGCTATTCTAGAATTCATGTTTTATTATTTCTCTTCCAACAGCAAATGCACTAAAAGAGCTTTACTGGAGTTGGTAGGAACATAGAGGGAGTTTGGCTTGGACACATATTCAACTGCATGTTCAACTGCTTTTGCCTCTGTCATCACATATCCCATGGTATGATCATGCTGTGATGAAATGGCAGCCTACAAAGTCATGTGACGGGTTGGCTAGGTGTTTCCTTACAAGGGAGGCAAGGCGGAAAACTAAGAGAGATTGGAAAGTGGAGAGGTGATAGTAGCCCTGGTGGAAAAGTAAACTATTATGCACAACCCAGCCCAGCCCAGTGCCCTGCTTTGGCTAGCAAAGTGCTGCAGGAGGTTACCCAGGCCAAAAATGAGGCACGGGGGCTGCGTGTGACACACACACACACACACGCACCTCATTTTGGCTGGTGGGGTGCTGCAGGAGGCATCCACCCCATCTCTCCTCCCCCAACCAACCAGCAGAGGAGAACTACAGTGCTGATCTGGCTTGAAGAAATCCAGTTTGACACCCTTGCCCTAGACTGAGTAACTGAAACAACATCCTGGAAGAAGGTAATGGCAACTCACTTCTATACTGCAGTCAAAATACCCCACAGGATGTACTCATGAGTCAAGTTCAACTCAAGGAAGCTAGACCTCTTTCATAACCATCTAGAGAAGATTTGAAAGTTTGGGTGTAATGGTTCAAGCGCCAGGGTAGAAACTGGGAAACCAGGAGTTTGAGTGCTACCTCTGATATAAAACCAGTTGGATGACTTTGGACCCGTTCCTCTCTCTTAGCTCCAAAAAGAAGGCAATGGCAACCCACTTTTGAAAAAACTGCAGGGAATAGTTCAGGAGGTCACCAGGAGTCAACACACACTCACAGGCACCCCACAAAAAAAGGGGGATGACTTTTAGGCTGCAATTTGTAAGGAAGCTTTAGTTCAGACTGAATTGAAGTGTGCAACTTCCAAAATTAATTAATTAATGAAGTTTTAGTGTGAATTGCATGATCTGTGCACACCCTGGTGCTAACCTAAAGGATTCTTGCCTGCAAAAGTAAGAAGAGGGGGAGGGGATTCCAAGGGTTGCCTTTAGAGCAAGGATATACGTGGAAGTCATTTCTACATCATGGGGCCCTGAAACACAAATCTCATCTAAATTTGAATTGAGCTGAATTTAACTTTTTCTACTTTAATGTCTAAGCAAGCAAGAATGTTTTAAGTTAGCACAAAAAATAAAGTGATTTGGCACCAGTTGTGTCTTCTTCAGACATTTATACCAAAATCAGAGAGAAGAAGAGAATTGGGGGGGGTGGTGTTGTTTTTGCAAATGCACACTGAATTTCATCTACACGGTACTTAACTCCTCCACCTCTCTCCAATTGCCTCTATCCGTTTCATCAGATCTGGCAGAAGGGGCATGCTCCAGGTCCTGTTGATTAAAGAGTGTCACCAGATGGGACTTGGGAAGTGGGCCTCCTCTGCAGCTGTGCCTGCCCTTTGGAACATCATTCCTCCTGAGATTAGATTGGTCCCAACCCAGTTGGCCTTTGCAAAGCTCTTAACCCCTGCTTTTTCTCTCAGGAATGGGGTCAGGAAATGGATGAGCTCTTGAGTTATACGAATTTATAGTTAGTTGGTTTATCCTTAGCAGACATTTTTCTTTTACTTTTTGATGTGTTTTATCTATTGTGTTTTGTTATTGCGTTGAAGTTTTTATGGCGTTAGCCACTCAGAGTCATTTTATGTGTGATCGGGAGCTATATAAATTTTTAAAATTTACAGCTCAGGGAACAGCTTCCTCTGAAAACGCACATTAACACACATGAAAATATTGTAGGCCTTGATAGTAGCCTGTAACCACTAGATGGCTCCTGGACTTTTGGATATTAAAAAAAATCTTTTATGACAATACATTTTATTAAAAGGAATAAGCTTTTGTGAGATGCAACTAGCTTTATCAGATGATGAATTCATATACAGTAATATTATGGATATAGCAACTCTGATCAAGTGAAGTCTGGAGGCATATTTTTTTTCATTTAGAAACAAAGATGAAAAATTAATTGAGAGGGGATCCTTGGTGTTCTCTGAGCTTGCTTGTTTTCTTGCAGATGTTTCTTTACCCAAACTGGGTAACATCATATGTGCTAGTGATTGATTTAATTAATTTCTGTAGCAGAAAAGCATATTGTTAATTAGCTTTCCAAGTTGATCACAGCCTTTAAGAGCATAGAGTATCACAAGTAGGTAAGCCTATCTGTGAGGTCCTTAGGGCTAAAATCACTTAACAAATTTTAATAATCTTCCCAAAAAATCTATTTTCCATCACAATATCCAATACGATAAATTGAGAGTTCTTTTTAGATGCTCTTGATAAGCAATTTTATGGAGGAACTTGTGTTGCTGTAAGTACATTGTCATTTTTATGCAGCAAACTAAAATAGGAATGAATGCATTTACATTCAACCAATACATTAAATGCCGCAGTGCTCAAAGTTTAACAAATGAATCACTTGACAATTAGAATGGAATCAGAGGAAGCTTTGGGTGTCATTCATAAAGATATATCTTCAGTTATGTATGCAAAAAAAAACCCTGTTCTAATATCTGACAAGTGGTGGTAAAAGACTGTGCAGGAAAACAAAAAATAATAATGGAGATAATAATGTGATATTAAGCTGTTACAACAGAATAATAAGGACTCTGCTTCAAGTTGTCTCAGTGACATCAGTGTAACATAGTGTCAGAATCTAACCCAAAGGTGAGACAGTGAGATTTACAGTATTTGAGTCCAATCCTTTATTTGCTTACACCTAATAGACAGAAACCTGCCAAGCTACAGAATACCTGACCTGCTAGGTATATCCTGGGGGATTGTAGGGTATGGTTACCCTGAACCTCTTTGCCTGTCCCTCCTCCATCTTGGGACTGTACAGTTTCTTGATCCAGGTCTCCTTCTGAGAAACTTCTGAGTTGGCAAAATCCTCCCTGCTCTGCTTCTATAGGTGCATATTCCATCACACTTAAGATACGTTTCTCATTGGCTAGTTCATGCCCAACATTTGCAGGGTGATGATGAAGCTTGTTATTTACATATGGAATAAATTCACATTCCAGCAGCAAAAAGGTTTGAAATATTTACTTCAAGTTGGTTACTTTGATAACTGACGTGGGTCAGACAACCTCTTTGTTGCTGGAATGAATCTATGTGGATTATTGCCTCATTTTTCAGATATGGTCCCGAGTCCAGGATGGTCAACACTAAAATGTAACAAGACTTACAAAAACCTTTGCTTCATCTTTGTAGGAAAGTTGAAATGGAACAACCACATCCTGATTTAAAAAATAAAAAAAAACGCTGGGTAATTCCCTGCTATATATTCTCTGCTTTTAATTCATTTATTTTCTTGGGCAAAGTATTAGCAAAATCAACCGTACTACCATTTACCACTTAAAGGCAAATGTAGAGATTATATGATGAGGACACTACAGCCCCACAGTAAACCTTAAACAACAGGGAAGTCTTCGGAAGGACAGAGTAAGATGTCACTGAAACTTAGAGCATTTGAGGCCATGTTTTCTTTTCTTTTTTAAAATCAGCATAGGAGCTAGCTCAACCCAAACAAACATTGATTCTCTCCATTTACCAAAACACATCAGCAGCAATGTCTAATCCCCACAAACTTTCTATTTGAAACATTCTGCCTTTGGCTGGTGCACCTGCAAGATCAATCAAAAGGTTTGAGGTGAAGCAAAAGATGGTGTGATAGCTACAGGCAACAAAACCATTTGCAGAGGTGAGATATGTAGATATACGGCTATTTAAAACCAAAGCAGGAAGGATGACAGATCACTGAACCTCCATACTGTAATGGAACATGTAACCACTGATCAAAACAAACTGTTATACATGGAAATATCAAGCCACATCCTGTTGTGCACTATAAGCCCTTCTCTCTCCTTTTCATACAGCAAGAATGGCAAGTTGACGGCCAATGTGAAAGCATTTCATATTGTAATACGAAAATAATTTACCCCGGGAAAATAAAGTATTATTTCTCTCCTGCCAGAACATAAAAGATGATTTACTGAGTTAGGAGTTTCTTTCCCATGTCAGTTGAGCTGATTGTAATGATTTTAGCATCACCATCTAGCCTACAACTTCTTGTTCACCTATGCTTTTCAGAATGACCACACCTAAAATGTCTGTCTTTTATATAAAACAAAACCTAACTGATGAGCCCCCCCCCCACCCCGACAGCACCAGACATCACTTGGATTTCTCATTTTATATAATTATATTACGGTAAGGTAATGTAACATAAATAAATATGATGATATCACTGAGGGGTTACAAGGAGAGGAGGAGGAGGGAGAGGAGGGAGAGGAGAAGGAGGAGGAGGAGGAGGAGGAGGAGGAAGAAGAAGAAGAAAAAAGGACCTGGGAAATCATGTTGGAAGCAAAACAACTCCAAAGCCAATTTTTGTTCAAAAATTATCTTCCTTGTCTCTTTGTTGATAAAATTATTCATATATGATGAATAATTCACCTACAAATACTTCATATTTATAACAATGTGCATTGTGAGGGGTCAGAAGACACAAATCAGCCACCCAAATTTTAAGAGGGTTGCAGAGGGCTATTGTAAAACTTTCACATTACTGGAAGTGTGTATGTGTGGTTCAATTTTTTCAGATTTGAGAAGCCAGGGATCTTGGGCACACTTAACCACCACTCCAATGGCCCAAAGCTGCAATCCTGAAATTTCACCATTTTTCTACCCAATACTAGCTATGTGGTCAGGATGCATTATGTGAAACACATGGTTTTTCCTACTTTATTATAAGGAAGTAAATGTTAGATATATCATGAGAAAGAGAAAGGTAACTTGAATGCAGTGGGAATGGGAGGGAGAGCTTAACTATATGTGACTTTGTTTAAAAACAAAAAATAATACATTCAAGAATAAATAGATGCTGCAAGAATGTGGATTGAATTCAAAAATGAGTGATCCAGATGAATGAAGAATATTGAGGTGCCTCAGTTTTAAGGGCAGATGAATTAGGACTGGATTGCACAGAGATCATGCCAATTGCATGAATTAAAAAAAGGAAGAAGTATAGGGAATGGTGTTATTGCTATTGTATTTTAATTTCCTTTTAATTTCTATTTCTTACTCCATTTCTACAGATGTACAGTTCCTTTCTCAGAAAGAGTATGGGGTATATATGTACTTGTATATATGTTTTGAGCAAATATCAAATATAAGGTTCCTCCTGTTGTTCCCTTGATCCCTTGAGATGTAGGTCAGTCGCCATCCTCAGAGCTATACCATGTTTTTGGAAAAGAGGAGGATCCTAACAGTGTGTGTGTGAGAGAGACAGACAGACAGACAGACAGACAGACAGACAGACAGACAGAGTGTCAGCATTCCAAATAGCATCCAAAATTAAATCAGACTCCAAGGCAAAGTACTGCTCAAAGTTCCAATTTATTAAGAGAGCCATGTTGGCATATCTGGGAAAACCCGAATCTGAAGCTTCTCAGTTTTCCCCACCCAGGTTAAAGTTCATGATCTTGCCCCCTTCCCACAAGTCCATCACATGGTCCAATCTTCCACTGCCATGCTGGCACTTCCACCCATCCAGGTCCGGACAGGTGCAGAGGTGCCAAGACAAAGGATGACCTTGGCCTTCTAGAAAGGAAATTTATTTTGGCTACATAGCATTTTACTTCCATACTATCCCCCCTACCAATTCCCCACCATAGAAACAGCATAGTAGAATAATAGAAAGTGTGGCAGGCCAAAGATCCAAAAGGAACATGGCTGCAGGCCTGACCCAGAGACAGAGAGAGATCAGATTGTTCAACTTCCAGAATTAATATCTTGCTCTGTCATAGCAATATCTCACTGCACGTAACTTACCATATATCACACTACAGTATGAACCAATCAATTTCAAAGGGATGCCTCTTCTTGCATGCTGTTTCATGTGCAGTAAAATGTGAAGAAACCCTACTTGAGGTCTCCTCACTCATAGCATTATGAACCAAATATGCATAGTTCTTGAAGCTTCCTAAAGAAAAGCACTTCAGAGCTGCAAGCTATTCCTGAGAAAGCTTCATACTTGGTTTGGTTGTTTGGGGAAGGATGTAACTCAACATTGGTACTAGTTAAATGAGATTTTGAGCAGCAGTGAGTTGCTCCCCGTTTTACTACCGCCAACCCACGTGCACACTTGCTTCGCTTGCGTGTGTGTGCTGTTCAATGTAAATTGTTCTTCACTCATACCTGCGACCCAGGTTTGAATTTCACTACCGGTTTGGCCGAACCAGGCTGAATCAGGAGCAACCCACCTCTGATTTTGAGAGAGAAGGAAAAAAAGAAGGTGAAGGAAAGAGAGAGAAAGACAAAGAAAGAGACACCTGCAGCAGATATCAGACATGTTTACTTTTGTCAAAATATTGAAATGATGTTGCCCTGTTGCAATGCAAGCTGCACCTGTTTCATATCTATGTGCAACATCACAACACATGTACAAAAGAGGCAGTGCTTATAGAGATATGCTGCTGCTTATACCACAAGCTCCTTCCTGCAGACACCTCCGGCTGCAACAACAATAGCAACAACAATGTTCATACACCTGATCACCTAAACTGCAGGGAAAAGATCTGGGTTACAAGATTTTATCTATATATAATTATAATACAGAGAGATTTCATGTTCATTCCCATCTAATTGCCTTTGGTTTTATAACACTTTAATGCCAAAATTTATTGAAAAGTATTAGATAAGTGTTTCACTAAAAACTAGGGCATCTTTGATCAGTTAAAGCAGGAAAACTCTTCAACATCCCCCTCCACTTGTAAAATGATATTTATCTTAGAAGAATTAGTTTGCAAGATTTGGTCATTTTAAATTTGATATCTTTAGATTTATGAATGAAACACATGAAACTCAGTCAAAATTTTCTGTGAGGAGTGATTTTACTAAAAACAGCTAAAGAAATGAAGATTGCTGACATGGGCAAAACTCAACATTAAGCATTTTAAAGCTTATTGATTTCAGTTATGAGAATTTTAAAAGGTCAAGATGCCTCTATCTTTTGCACCTCAATCTCACCCCTTCACATTCAGTAGAATTTGCATGCATCAGATTGTGTGACATCTCTATAATTCTATGGCACCTCCCTGGAGGAAATTACTCTCTTTGAATTCAATGGAGGCCATGTTCTGGGGTGACAGGTTCATATTCAGTGTAAAGCTGCAATTCTGTACATATTTCCTTCCAAGTAAACATGGTTTTAAAAAAAACACAGAGAGAGACATGAAAATCCTATGAATGTTCCTGTAGAGATAGTAACAAGAACAATAAGATAAAGTTGGGAACAACCAAATATTTTTTATTTTAAAAAAAAGAATTAAAAAGCCACTTTGGACTTTTAAAGGCAAGAATCATTCTTTTTTCTCCAGCATTCATTCAACTCAGATATAATGTTCCCAGGTAAAATGCTTCTGTTGTATCAACTGCCACAGGACTGGGGAAAAAAGAAAACAAGGGCAACTAATTAATCCTGGATTAAATATCTTATCTTTTTTTATTATCACCATGATATAAAAATATGTTGAGACTCTGGAAGGAGTGCAGAGAAGAGCAACAAAGATGGTTTGCAGATTGGGGAGTAAAATATAGGAAGAACAGTTGCAGGAATTGGATATCTCTAGTTTAATGAAAAGAAGAAGCAGGGGTGACAGATAGCAGAGTTCCAACATCTGAGGAGCTGCCACAAAGAAGAGGAGGGTCACCCTATTCCCCAAAGCACCTGAAGACAGGACAAGAAGCAACAGATGGAAACTAAGCAAGGAGAAGTTTGATTTAGTACTAAGAAGAAATTTTCTGACCGTTAGAACAATTAATCAGTGGAACAATTTGCCTCCGAAAATTGTGGGTGTTTTTAAGGAGAGATTGGATAATCGTTTGTCTGAAATGGTATAGGGTTTAAGCAGGGTGTTGAACTACAGTAGAAGACCTCCAAGGTCCAATACCACCTGGTTAACTCTGTTACTGTGTTATCTCTAGACACCAGAACAACCATTAAAGGCCCAGGGGAACATTTCATACATGACATATCTTTGATTAAAGAGTCCAGATGCAGACTACAGAATTCCCATAGTGAAAGGGAAGATGTTGGAAGAAACTGGACAATCTGACTTTTTGTTGCTCCAACTTCTAGCAGATCTTGGATAGTTTATTTCATAAATTTGTTTAAGCTAGAAGGACTTAACGTTTTAATATCTGTTCCGAACATGGTTTATTATGATAGCATATATTTTGGATTTACTTTCCAGAGCTACTTATGCAATCTTATGTATCAGTGATACACAAAGATACCTGTTAGAAATATTTTTTTGCCTATGGGGAACCATATCAGAATCTTGTGAAACCAATTGATTATGACTATCATAAATAACAGTTCATTTCAGAAATGTCAAGAGTAGAACCCTAATTATACCCCCTGCATCCAGTGAAATTGACTGGGAGCCATAACATTTTAAGTAATAATAAATTGGATAGATTTAAAGAGCCAGTTTGATGTAGTGGCTAAGATATCAGGCTAGAAACAGGGAGATGACGAGGAGGCAAGGGCAAACCACTTCTGAAAATCTTTGCCATGAAAGGGACAGAACCACAGACAAAATTCTGAAGATGTCCAAAAGCCTGCCTAAACAGACTGTGACTATGATGAATTAAATTTTCCCTCTTTGTCCTAGTCATCCAAGATTTGGGTTCTTTATGGATGCTATTATCCAGATTGCCATGAGGGAATTGGATCATGTATCCATTGTCTTATAGATTAGCCTTATTAAGGGCTTTTCCTCCCATCCCTTTCACCTAACTGTGTTAGAAGCTCACATTGCAGCTTCTGCCATGTCCCCATGATTTGCCTTCATCTCCTCCCCAGCACAGATGAGTAAGGCAAACACTCCTCTTAACCTCCATCAAAGTCAGGTTGTCCTCCATAACCAGGGAGGAAAATCAAGGGACTGACAATGACTGGGAACTAATTCAGGCAGAATCACGATTGGCAATCGTGTTCTGGTGCTCAGTTGCAGGGAAAGAGTGTAGGGGTCTTTAAACAATGGACAGGGATATTGTTAAGGACAGGTTAACACATACAATGCATTTTTTCTCAGGAATTGGTTAAACCTGGATATAAAGGACAGACATGGCACATTACCTTTTTTCTTATTTTCAAACACATTATAAATGCCCCATACAAGGCACTCTTGAAAATGAGAAGAATATACACCAGTTTTCCAAGATTGGTTTGTCTGAGATACGATTCTAAATGTGAAGAAAAAATAGGGAAAAATAACAATATAAGAATAATATAATATTATATATTTAATGGTGAAGCAAAACAGTATATCCTCTTTCTGTTGGACTGTTTTTCTGTTCCTCCCTTCTCCAGCATATTTCTTGAATACATGATTTCTAGAGGCAAACTATAACATATGCAGAAATTTTTTGAGCTAGGGCATCACATCTCTGCAATATATTTAAATGCTTAGTCATGGAATATTACCGTTTTTTGTTTTGTTTTTTGAAAATGAGAGAGAGAGAGAGAGAGAGACCCTTTGAGAAAAATATTCTGGGAGCAGAAGCTGCAGGGAAGGACAGCATCTTTTCTTCTCACAGGTTTTTTTTGAGGAGGGTGAATTGTTTTGATTTGCTTTTACTGAATTTACAGCCTGTCATCTCACTCTTGTCCCCATCTTTCCAAACTTCAGCTCTATATTTTTCTTGTGCAAACCCACACCTGGAGCCAGGAAGAGGAAAAGTGATTGCATATCTGGTCTAATGGGCACTTTGCTTGCTTCCACTTTAAAATGTCAGAAAATTTGCTTTTTTTAATAAATTGTTTAAAAGGAAGAAACCATTGTCGTTGCTTCTCCTATGATAATCCCAAATAGTAGTAATTTGTACTCCATCTGCCCAAGACTCCAACTAAGTCAAAATAGCTTTTTAAAAACGTAGGCATGTTGCTGTGTTTTAAGGTATGGTTTTGTTTTTCCTGAAGGCAGGGAAATCTTCATTGATACTGCAATCAAATCTGTTTCTGTTTCTGTTTCTGTTTATTTATTTGTATGCCGCCCTTTTCCCTGGGGGGGACTCAGGACGGCTCACAATCAAAAGGAAGGGGGGGACAGACTTTTACATATAAGACAGTACATGATTAAAACACAACATTCATACCATTCGGACGGGTTACAATCTTTA